CCATGAAGATAAGAATAGTAGACAATAAATTTATAACGACAATATACGCGTAGAAGTATGACACTAATCAAAAAAATTTTTTATTTTATTTTTTTTAAATCGAAAAAATAAAAATAAAATAAAAATAACAGAACAAATAAAAAAACACTTACCTAATGGTGATAAAAGTACCATGACCAGAGAAGATGTTATCAGTACAAGCTTTAACGGATCCAACTATAAGATCGAAGGCAGTTTTAAACATATGCAAAAAATTTCCCGGTTCGAGGGGAGTACATTCCTTTGGACTAGGTAAAGTAGTAATACTAATGGTAATCATTCTGAATATTAATAAAAAATTGAGCAACCAAAAGACACGACGTATAATAACGATTCTCGCAATATTAGACTCAGCAATAGCCATGGTGATAATCAAAGAACCAACAAGCAAAGTGAGCATAGCAACGTCAGCGAGAAAAACGTAATTGGTTTCTGGTATCAAATCGAAGCCAAGATCTACCAAAGCTTCCTTATCATGATCAGAATTTTTCCACCGAAAATCAGACCATTGTATAGCAAAAGTACAAAGGAAACTAGCTATTACCAGACCCACAAAAGATATAAAAGTACGTGATATCTCTGCGACTAAATAAGGAGAGATGTGTAAGTGTTCAGCGAGAAAACCATTAAAATTTGGTGATTTTAAGGTTATTATCCCTAAGAATTTTTTATTTTGAGTTGTTGTGTCATTTGATAAATCGGACACCGGTGAAATAGATATTATTGGAGATTCAGACATAGTTTATTATTTAAAAAAAAAATCTAAAACGGTATATTATAAAAGAATTGAAAAAATAAATAAAATAAAATAAAATAAAAACCGATACAGTGAAGTGAGTGCCGAGACATTGGCGATAACATGATGAATTACCTTATCCAGGAGAAGAGAATGATAAATAATCCGAAAGGAAGTTCTCTTATATATAAAAAATCGTTATATATCAATATATCAGATGCTATAATTGTAATGGCGTTAAAAGAGCCTAAAAGGGCAAATGATTTTCCAAAAAATTATATCCTATGTTGTAATGCAGTTTTTTTAGATTCTATCTATAATTACTGGCAAATAATATGTGCTCTTTCGTCATATACGTATAATTAAACATATATAATATAAGCCGAATGTCGGTTAGAAAGTATACAATTCTGGTTATATTGGCACTCTACAAAGATAAAAATTAAGAAATAAATAAATAAAAATAAAAAATTACAAAAGTTTATAATATATTTACCGAAATCCACGCTCATGTGGTGTTTCCTTCCGACCAAAAGTTTTAGATTCGCCTCAGATGCATCATCATATTATTCAATAACATCTATTAACCAGATGCATTGTAATCTAAAAGTATATAGGTTTAAATTTTAAGAAAATGGTATAACAAGATGTCGGTTTATACAGATCAATGTTCAACTATTGAAACAAAAACCCGAAGTATTTTTTTATATGTTGAAAGTTAATTGTACAGTATCGGCATTTTAATAAACCAGTGTTAAACACAGACATCATCGTCCCTGATATAGTGGTATCGTGTGATATCGTGTCTTTACATTATTCCAAAAAAGGTATACCTGAGAATTATGAATTATTAATTGATAAATTAAAATCCGGTGATTACAACATCTTGATCAGGGACGTATGATTTGCTGTGTTTCACAGAATACCGTATAATTTTTTTTAAACACAGCTAATCACCTTAATCAAAATGAGAGTTTATCACAGAATCGTGATTTTTATGCGTAAAAATTTTCCCAAAGTAACTGGTATTAGTGATTGTACCCGGGTAAAGTTTTTTGCTTGAATAAGTATTCATCCGGGTCAACCCGGGTATTTAATAATACCCGGGTAGTGATTTTCTCAACGGGTACAAACTCTAACTGGTATGAACGTAAAGTAAAACCTTCATGAATATTGGATAGGAATGCAAACATCTTTACCAATATCGAATATTATATATGGCTTCCGGTTTCTAGTTGTAGTTAGAACGCAGTTTTTCAATATACTAATAAACTTTTAAATAGCGATCGTCAAAATCACTTGATTTTTTAAAGATGTTATATTTTAACGGCACTCTTTTTTTTTTAAGCAAATCTAATCGCAGAAGCAGAATCAGTAAAACTATCGCATAACGATAATAGCACAAAAAATCTATATTTTTATCACATCGCATCACAGAATTTTAGTTAAGCACACGCAGAATTTGATCTGAGTCACCGCAGAAAATCATCGTCCCTGAATCAGGGACGATGATTTTCTGCGGTGGTTAAGACTAAATTCTGCGTGTGCTTAACTGTTAAGACAAATTCTGTGATTTGATGTGCTAATTTTTTACCCGATTTCTGTGCGATTCTGTGATAGTATAGTACTATTTCTATGATTAAATAGCTTAAATTTATTTTATTTATCCCGCTGACCACGCTCGTAATTTATGTTTCGAAATTTATGTTTATTAACTGTCTACTTACGAAATTTTCCATTATAAATTGTGATTTCTTGGCTTTTTGTGGTATTCTACGGTGATTTCCTCACATTTTGCGCATTCTGTAGTATTCTGTGGTTAGCTGCGTTTAAGAAAAATTCTGTGGTGTTCTGTGAAGCACAGCAAATCATCGTCCCTGTCCCTGA